TTCACACAATTTAAATGGTTACTTGTTTGCAAATTTTAAATTATAAATTATAAAAAATAAAAAACAATTAATCTAAAAAATTTGATGAGTTGTAATTATATGTTTTTAATAATATATGTGTAGCTAAACTTTTTTCCCCACTCGAAATGATGCAAGTAAACTTTGGTTTTTTTAACAAAAAAAAGGACTGGATATATAGGTTAAGACTTAAACATGTCATTAATTATATATTATTTGGGTCAAAATACAATTTTTATCTGGTTCACTCTAATCTTTATACATTTAAAATGTTTATTTTAGTCACCCTACTTTCAATGTTAATTCATTATAGTCCATGTACTTTCAAGGTTCGTTTTGATTCTTATACTTTTAAAAATGATCATTTGGGTCAATATTCTCAAAATTTTAATGCAAATTCTATACCTAACAGAAACCTATTTATATAAAGTCATGGTTAAATTTCAACAAATATATTGAATGTAGTGTCACGTTGAAATTGTTATAGAAAAATGAGGTTAAAAATAAAACTAAGGGATTCAAATGACCACTTTTCAAAGTATAGGACTAAAACAAACATTTTGAAAGTAAATTTACTGAAAGTATGAAACGAACCAAAATTGAAAGATGAATATTTTAGAAGTATAGGGACTAAAATAAACCAAAATTGATAATACAATGATCAAAATAGTATTTTAAACAACATATTTCTATTTTTTTAATAAAAAAAGAATAAAGAATAAAGAAGCATTGTTACTCAAAAAGTAAGCATAAAAGGATAATTCAAACTTATGGAATACCATTTCACCCCTAATTGATATTGTTTAATAATAACAATTTATGGTTGCACAAGGCATGATCTCGAGCATATATAAACGTATTGTATTATATATTATAACATATAAAGGATAAGATGAGGAATTCATCACTTTCTTGACCAACATTGAATCAAAGAGGCCAACCTGAACATATTAAGGTACATTTCATGGTGGGAAAACAGGATTGGTCCTGGCAAAACCGAGCCAAGAAATTATGAAAACTATACCTTTTTTTCTATGCAATTAAACATCAGCTTTAAGCTTAAGACGCTGCAGTGTAGAAGTCCCAAGACCATCTTCACGATACTGGAGATACAATTCTCTGATGGTGGTTTCTCTGCACCTTGGAGGGTTCTCTTCCGATAACAGTTCTTTTATGGGTCCATACAGTTTTGGGTTCGGGAAAGTAAGCGTAGAAAAAATCCCTGCAACTGAAATTCTCGGACCCTCCTTCTTTGCCACAACCCTATGCACCACGCTTATGAATCTGTCGTTTGTTATTAGCTGCAAATTCAATCCAAAACAAAACCCAATTACCCCAAAAATCCCAATTACACATAAAAACAGAGACTCTGTAGAGACTTAATTACCTGCATAAGTTCTCCGATGTTGACGACCAACACTCCGGCGACAGGGGGCACGCCGACCCACTTGTTCTGGCAACGGATCTGAAAACCTCCGACGTGGTCTTGATACACCACATTAATGAAGACATTTTCACTATGCTCGGATGTGCCCATGGTCAATTTGGGCTGTGGGCATGGCGGGTAATAGTGGCACCCAAGTGCAAGCCCCTCGCTGCACCCTATGTCATTCAAGTAATTTGGGTTCAGCCCCAAAGCCTCCGACAACAATTCAAACAGCAATTTCCCAATTTTCATCACTTCTTTCGAGTAATCAACCACAATATCTCTGCGCACACATATATCAATTCAGGGGTGGACACAAATTTCCAGCAAAATTTTACAGGGCCAACTCAATCTGAATTTTTTAATTTAATGTTCGAACTTTGTTTATTGTGGTCCAAGATCAGCAAATTTACCTTATAATTTCGGGCAAGTCTTGTGGATTGGGAGGATTTGGGGAACTTATATACCCAAATGTGTCCCTCCAATTGGTGGCCGCTGCGCTGTACAGATCGAAATTACTGTTGTAAATCACAGGCTTCGTGGGGTCGCGTGTGTAATATTGTTTCTTCACTTCCGTGTCTTGTTCGTGAAATCTCCGAACCGCATCTTTCATCTCTTCAAGAACGCTCACCGGAATCCCGTGGTTGATCAATCGGAAGAAACCCAATTTCTCTGAAGCTTCTCGGATTCTTTCGACGGCAATTTCGCGTTGGAGGGGATTTTTGTCGACGTGGTGGAGGTCTATCACCGGAATACAGTGGTGGGTTTCGCCGGAAACATTGTCGGAGTCGTAATCTGGCAGTGGCTGGTAAAAGATGCGCGGAATTTCAGCAATACCGGCGTCGACTAGGCCTTTAACGCCGGCTTTAGTATCGTCGAAAGCTTTGAGTTCAGTGGGTCTGTGGTAATTGGCGTCGGCTTTGGATGCCGGCGTGAGGGCAATTACGCTAACTCCGGTGGCGACCGCCATTTTCTCTTCGCTTCGATAGGTGGCTTGCACGTTGACAACGTTCTTAAACCGTTATTTAAACAGTGTTCATTATTTATCATCTATCACTACAAATTTCTTTATAATTAAAAATCTAGTTCTGCAATTTTAATAAGTTAAAAGATTTTTTCTTTTCATTTGTTATAAAACTAAATTCATTCATAATTTTTTTTTCTGAAGAAAGTTTTTCTTTATTTCAACGCCACTTATATAAGAAAGAAAATTTGCTTAACAACCACCAGGTGTGATAAGAAAACAAATCTCGTATTGTTGTAATGATATCGTATATTATCTACTTTAGATCTAAATATATACGAATTTACTTACTAGTGATAGTTAATTTTAGATAATATATTATATATATTTATCTTTCAGAATTAACATGAGACTTTGTTAGCTTCCTAACACATAAACCTGATCTATGGTCTAACATAATTTTGATTTCATAAAAATTTGTCTCGTACCAATACTTATCTATATACCATAGAACAAGTTTCTCCTTCTTACAACCCCAACATAATGGATTCCGCTCCTTATTGAGATTTTGGCTATCTGAGAAGGTAGGGTTTGCATAGAGATTGCGACAGCAAACAAATATTACTTGAATTTGATTATAAAATGAATATTTTAATAATAAAATAAAATATATCAGCAAATCTTTTTTTCTTTTCAAACAATATTACAACGTGAGCAAATTTGCCGTGTTCGACTCGTTCATCTCATGAAAATAGTGTTTTTAATGAGGAACAACTTTTTGGGTGTTTAAAAATTAGAATATTGTTAATAAGAACGTGGGATTATCTTTTTATTTTATGCTTTGCTGAGCTCCATACTTATGAGATTACATTTTGTCCACAAATTCAAATCTCTAAATATTAGCCGTTCATTATAATACCATAACCCTACCAGCAGATAATTTCAAATTTCTCAACACCCTGAATGTCACCTATTTATTAATGATCCTACGTTGAAAATACAAGAGACATTTATAATCTACATGGACTATTCATTTCCTAACCATGGTTTTGAGATAACATCTAAATCTTGATATGGTATTAAAGTCCAATAAACTTAATCCAACGTTCTTAATATAGAGAGAAGAATCATCAGAGAGTGGGACAAAATTTACAAAATTTAGTGCTCTTGTTGATTAATGTAGCCATAACTGATGTGGTTTAAGTTCTTAAAGACATGTTTAGAAATTGTGTTAAAGAAAAAAAGGGCAAAAAGGATGAATGAATATATATATATATATATATATATATATATGTATATATTTTTTTTTTTGAAAAGGATGAATGAATATCTCTCGGTTTCCTTGAAAACATAAACTCGAAAAATGTATAATTGATATTTGAAAGAATAAATAATATAACCAGAATTGAAAACATAAACTTGAAAAATGTATAATTGATATTTGAAAAAATAAATAATATAACCAGAATTTTAAGAAATGTTAAGTATTCTGCACATCTGAGTATATGAATTAAATTTATCTAATTTATTAGCTTAAATTTTTTTGTTGAGTTGTGGTCTATTCATTTTTTGTATAGAGCAGGAGGTCCTATATTCGAACTGCTTCCTCCAATTTTCTAGACAAACCTATAGGAGCAGGAGAAAGGGACAAAATGGAAAGATATCTTTATAGCCATTTTTATATATAGTATACCTTTATCATTTATAACAATATAAAAATAGCATATTGTGTTCTAATTTTTTAATTATATTTTAGATTTTTGTTAGTATAATTATATTTTAGATTTAAATCTTAGGTTAATCCTTGAATTTCTAGATTCATTTTATTCTAGACCTTCAACAAATTCATTTTATTCTAGACATTCAACTTTTCTGTTTGAGTGCATTTTTTTCCATTTCTTATTATTAATTAGTAAGGTTTTTAAAAAGACATAAACAAGCTACTTTTACGAAAAATCTTGGTAAGGGAACGATGAGCGGCTGAGCCTATTTCTTTTCTTATTTATTATTATTTTTTTTTACAGATCCTTTCTTTTTGCTATCGTTATTCTATAACAATTCGACGACTTGTGAATGTTGCGTTAAGATTGTGACATCTTTTTGTTGATATGTTAAGCAAGTGGCAGTTCTAAATGGGCACATGTTTAAGGCATATCCATGAAAGAACCAAAATATATTTTAACTTCTTAATTTTAAAAATAATTATTTGAGTTATTATCCTTATTTAAACACTAATACTCATCCATATTTGTCTCAACAAGCCTCTGATACTTCAATAGACACCCATATCAACACATTAAAATATATGTTAAAATAATCAAGTATAGTACTAAAATATTAAAGATAGAATAACAACAAAAATCAAGTAGTTAATCGTTGCACTAAAAAAATCAAATAGCTATTTATCTGTACCCTGGTGCAATTATCGATTCTCTTCTATATATAGCACTTGGCCTCGACCCTCAATGGTATCAGAGCCAATTCGACTCTTTCTTTCTTTTCTTTTCTTTTCTCTCTCATGGAGTAAACTCCTCTCTGAATCTGGGGGTGGAAGGGAAGATGGATCTAACATCGCTCTATGGTTGTCTTTCTTTTCTTTTGATTCTTAACCTATCTACAAAATAAATCTGATTTGGGTATCTCTCTTGTTCGATCTCTTGATAAAATCTAGCTATCCATTCTCAGGAATCATGATAAAGGCGTGGTTAACCTTCATGATTGAGAATTTATAGTTAGGAGGTATGAAGATGATTGAATATAGATCRATTGATCGAAGAATTCGATTTAATTAAAAGATAGATTATTATCAAAATAAAAGATTGAGCTTAGAAAGATCTTATTTCCATCTCCTAGATATCTCCAGATTCCCTTTTCTCCTATGCTATCTAAACTCCTCTAAAAAATCTCTCCTCATTCTCAACCCATCGTCGACACAGCTTCCTCTTCCTCTTCTTCTTTAAGCAAGCAAAAATCAGAAAATGATTTTTCAAAGATTTTAGCCGAACACAATTCAGCTGAAGCCCATCTGGCTAAGGTTGAAGATCGACTCAAAAATTGGTCTATCCCCAAGATAGATCCAAACCAGGTATACAAAATAAATACCTTCAATTTCTCCCAGCAAGACGTCATCGTCATCACCGAGGAGAACGTGGCTATGAAGGATGAATTCACGGAGATCACTCTTCTCCCTGAAGAAACCCTCTTCAAAGTCAGGAACAAATTCAAATAYCTCCWTATTGGATGTGTTCAAGTAGCCTTGAAACCTCTCTTYAGAGAAGGCTTASATGTCCCAGTTTATCTCGCTCTTCGAGATAAAAGACATCTCAACTTCACTCCCTCTCTTCTAGGGATCGTCGAATCAAATCTGGTTCAAGGACCAGTTTACTTCAACTGCAAACCAGGACTTACCGTCTCCCTTCAAGACAAGAACATTATGGACGTGCTATGTCTAAAAAGGGTCAAAGGAGAAGTCAAGAAGCCGATCCAAATTGAAGATCTCCACACTGAAGTGAAGAATCTCAAAAGAGAAGTTGCTAGTAACAAGCAATGACTTTCTACTCTTGAATTCGCCTTTGGAAAATTCCAAGAGTCAGAATCAACAGATTTGATTCTAGACATAGCACGTCCATAATGTTCTTGTCTTGAAGGGAGACGGTAAGTCCTAGTTTGCAGTTGAAGTAAACTGGTCCTTGAACCAGATTTGATTCGACGATCCCTAGAAGAGAGGGAGTGAAGTTGAGATGTCTTTTATCTTGAAGAGCGGGATAAACTGGGACATCTAAGCCTTCTCTAAAGAGAGGTTTCAAGGCTACTTGAACACATCCAATACGGAGGTATTTGAATTTGTTCCTGACTTTGAAGAGGGTTTCTTCAGGGAGAAGAGTGATCTTCGTGAATTCATCCTTCATAGCCACGTTCTCCTCAGTGATGACGATGACATCTTGCTGGGAGAAATTGAAGGTATTTATTTTGTATACCTGGTTTGGATCTATCTTGGGGATAGACCAATTTTTGAGTCGATCTTCAACCTTAGCCAGATGGCTACAACTTTAAAATATGCTGCCAAGTATATCTCTACCCACCCAACCTTAATTTTCGAATTTTCCATTTTCAAAGCGGATTGAATCTATTTTATATTGTTTTTTTTTTAAATCTATATTATTGTTTTAAATTTGAATTTGGCAGGCCGGGGAGGTTGCGCGTTGGATTTCAGAATTTACATACAGAGATCCATTTCCATATATAAGGAAGGGTATGCAAAAAATTTAATCGTCCTGCCGGAGGCGAAGAAGTTGCCGATCCACGACAGCGGCGAGATTAGCTCTCTGTATTCTTTAACCAAAGATGGGGTTCTTCTCCTTCCTCGGACGGGTCCTCTTTGCCTCCATCTTCATCCTCTCCGCCTGGCAAATGTAACTCTTCTATTTCTCTTTAGTTATCCCTCCTCAATCTTCAGATTCATCGGATCTTTCATCTATCGATTTCAATGTATATGTTCCTTTTCCTTCCACGTCGAATCTTCTATTGTCATAGGCTTTTATTGCTTTCATTCCCGAATTGGGTCTTTATCTTTTTTTGTTATTGTTTGTAAATATTTAGTGATTGCTGCTGTTGTGTTCTGTTATGGCATTCTGGTTCTATGGCTGCATAGCTTTCTACAAATGACTTGCGCGCAAAAACTTCTGATGGGCGAGGTTATTAGGGCGCTGTTTAATTTTCCTTCGATTCGTAGACTGCGACGAGTTTAGGAATGATTCTACATTGTTCATTTCTCGTTGTCATAGAGATTAAGGACCATTTCATATGTCCGACGTTTACATTGTCTGACTTTGGTTGAGAGTGGGGGGCCTAAAGGGTTTTCAAAAGAAACCATGTTTGCTATTAGTGAGATTCTATATTATTCCAGGAGATGCTTTTGATATTAAGAAGGTTATACTTATTGGGTACATTTATTGCTGTAGGGGATAAAATTTATTGGTTTTATCCCTTCAAACTGGAATGAACTATGTAAAATGAGAGGATAGAGGACATATTGCATTAAAGATCTCCAGTTTTCCAATTTGATGTTTCTAGTAATCCTGGTTGTGTTCATCCCTGATCAGATATTAGTGCCTACTGTTAGATCATTTTTCTCGTTAGCTAATTATGAAGACATTTGTTTCAATTTTATAGTAACAAACAGGACATTTTATATTGGGCTGAAGTGTGGAAGAAACGAACTGCCATTGTTGGATACTGATTAATGATGGGAAGTTCCTGGTATAAACTTTTCTGTTACATAATTTTTTCCGTGCTCGTTGGAATGGGTTTTCCTTGAATCCGTAGTCCAGTGGTGTTGTAGTCTTCATCTTACCTCCAGCTTCTTATCATTGTTTTAACATTTTCAACAATTTGGGTATTTCATCTAAATGTTATGGAACAGTTTTGATCCCTCTAGAACTATATATCTCAAGCAAAATGCCTTCGTTACCGAGAATTCTATTATTCTGGTATTGACATTACATACATCCTTTGGTCAGGTTTAATGAGTTTGGCAATAATGGTGGGCCGGCAGCCGAGGCATTGTCTCCAAAGATAGCTGTTTTGAGGAGAAATTTATCATCCAAACTGGGGCTAGCGATACCTGATATTGATGTAAGACCGTATATTTTTTCACCTTCAGTTTTCCTGCAACTTTGTCTGCTGTTCTCTTCTTACTCACCACTTCGGTTTTGACAATACGAGTGTGCTGTAACTTTTCCTTTTCACATTCTGATCATTTTCTGCAGGTCAGACACTTGGTTGCCATTTCTCTAGCTCTTAAAGGAGTCGGAGGCCTTCTGTTTGTTTTTGGCAGTAGCGTTGGAGCTTATCTGCTGGTAAGGATTCACCATATTCTTAATTTTAGCCTCCAAGCAGCAATTTGCTGCCGACTCTTTAGCATTACGGCTCAATGTTACTCTAAATTGATGCACATATTTAAAGAGAACATTGCCTTTCTTTCAGCTTCTGCAATTGGCAATTACCACTCCGGTTCTCTATGATTTCTTCAACTATAGCCCTCAGAAGCCTTCTTCTGGGCTG